GCGGGGGGAGGGGGGTCCAGAATCTGCAAAGCCAGGGCTGATGTCTGTCAGCCGGGCAGGCAGAGCCATGGTGGAGGATAGCGGTTTTCACACTGTTTGGGAGTAGGTGAAGTGAAGGTAGAAGCAGCTGCGCTGGCTGAGGGGCGCCCCTCACCCCCGCCCAAAGCCCCACGGACACACTTGAAGACCGCTGAGAAGGGTGTGGGAGTTGGGCGCATGTGGCGCTCAGGCTGCCTTCGGGAGTCTGGGCCATCATGTCCACGCCCCGCCGCTCACCCAGGGCCCAGCCCTCGAAACGTCAGACCCCCTGGAGCCAGAGGAGTCCCCAGTCTGCCCCCTGCTGGCTGTCGTTTCTCTGCCCACGTTTTTGGGTGTTCTTGTTTTGTTTTGTTTTCTCTCTGACGGAGGCCTAGGAGGACACAGGAGCCCAAACAGGCAGCATCAAACTATGACTGCTTCCCTCTTCTCTCTATAGCACTCCCCCACTGGCTGCCCGACTGCTGCCCCCGGGCCAGCTTCCCCCGCTCCTCTCTCCCTTCTTAGCCACCCAAGAGATAGACGGTATGAATATGCTGGACATCTAGGCGCTGGAGCTACACACGCTGGGTTCAAGTCCTGGCTCCGCTGGCTGTGTGACGCCCAACAAGTTACTCGAAACCTCCCTGAGTCCCACTTGCCTCCTCTGTAAAATAGGGGCAGTCGTAGCTCCTGCCTCCTCGGGTGAGGGGCCCTCTGTGCGGCCCCAGGCACACGGTGACCCCGAGTTACAGCGATCAGACTTGTTCTTCCTCCCTTTGATTACTTTCTCTGCTGTCTGTCCTCACCCTGTCTGTCACCTTGAAAATCTCTGATGGGGCTCTCCCCAGACAAAACTCTTCAGTGACCCTGCATCACCCTGATTAGTAGACCGAACAAGTATTCCACTGAGTGGCTAGGACCTGAGCTAGGGCAGTGAGTCGGATAGACTAAAATCACTGTCCTTGCAGGGCTGGCGAGCTGGAGAGACACCAAAGTGAAACAGGCTGGTCCACCGCGGAAAGGACGCCGAGGGGACAGAGAGTGTGGAGGGGCATTGACTTTAAAGCGTTGTTGTTTCTTAAGTTTATTTTTTTATTTTTGAGAGAGAGAGAGAGAGAGTGCAAGAGCATTCCAGCCGAGGGAGTGGCAGATGGTCAGGGCTCGGAGGCAGCGAGTCAGGGTCACCAGGGGGCGGTGGGTGGAGCAGGGTGAGCCAGGACAGGAGGGCAGGGCAGGAGGGCCCCTGCAGTCACCATACGGGACTCTGCCCTTTCCTGGAGTGGGATGGGAAGCCGTCGAGGGTTCTGAGGAGGTGAATGTGACTCCTGGTTGAACAGGGGCCACTCTGGCTGCTCACGGAGATGATGCTCAGGGCAGGTGGAAGCAGGGAGACCGGTTATGAGGTCACTGTTGGAATCCCACTGGGAGGTGACCGGGACGGCCACCAGGGGGCAGCAGTGGGCTAGTGAGCCTGGCCGGGTTGAAGCCACAGCTATTGAAGGGAGAGCCGCAAGCGTCGTGTCATCGTCCCATCGACTGGATGGGGGTGTAACAGAACGGTCAGAGGTGACCCCAGGGATTTGGGCCTAACGTATTCATTCCCTGGAGCTGCGGTGACAGTGAACCCCGATTGCGTGGGAAGTTTATTCTCCACATACGGAGAGCCACACAGTGTAGTCTAAGCCGGTTGCCTCGTTCCCACGTGTCCCTGTTTCTGTCTCTCCGCTTCTTGTGTGAGGACCCCAGTCACAGGATTACCCCATACGCCACTTGGTGACAGACTCCAGCATGACCTCATCTTAACTAAAGGCATCTGCAATAACCCTATTTCTAAATAAGGTCACACCCTGAGGGACCCGGGGTTAGGCCTTGACCTGTCTGAGGGACGCAATTCAGCCCATACTCCCACACAGCTGGAAGGCACTGCCATTGACTGAGGTGCAGGGAGCTGCAGGGGGCAGTCCGGCAGCACACCAGAGGACGTGGGCAGTGGGAGGCGCTTCTCGGAACCCAAGGGGGGCATGGAGAAGGTTGGTCTGGTGTCCTGGGTGAGGACCTGACTGAAGATTTACCTCCGGGAGCCCCCGGCACGTAGATGGCTTTTTGGGTCACGAGACTGGCTGAGTCCCCAGGGGTATGGGATGCGGATAAACGTGAGCAGGAGGCAGGCAAGGGAGCCGAAAGCTGCGGGGGAAGCCGCAGAACATGGGGTCCTGGGGCCCGCGGAGGAGGCGGTGTGCAAGAGACCACCTGTGGCAGTGCTGGGTCCTACGCGTGGACTTAGAAACATGGTGGGGGGGAGGGAGTGCTCTTGGGTGTTGGTTAAGTGTCCAACTTCAGCTCAGGTCATGATCTCACGGTGTGTGGGTTTGAGCCCCGCGTCAGGCTCTGCGCCTGCTTGGGATTCTCTCTCAATCTCTCTCTCTCTCCCCCCACCCCAAATAAATAAATAAACTAAAAAAAAAAAAAAAAAAAAAAAAAAAAAAAACAGTTATTAAAAAAAAGAAAACATGGTGGGGGCCCGAGATGGGAGAGGGTCTGAGAGAGATGGGGAGAATTAGAAAATCTTCAGTTGCAACCGTCGTAGTCATGTTTGATTTAGGCAGACGTCACCAGTGGATGTGAAAACCCTGGAGTGTGAGATTGCCAGGAACAGGATGTCTCGAAGTTATGTCCCCACGGGCTACTTATTCATTACAAAGAGGAAAAGGGCCTTTACGCCGTACCGCGAGGCCCCCAAGGGATCCAGCCGCACTGACGGGCACACTGAGGAGGGCACAGTCCACTCTCTAGGACATCTAGAAACCTCTCTCTCGTGTCGTTGCCCCAAATGCTCAGCCTGAAACCATCCAAGGACCTCCAGAAAGATCCCCGTGGAGGGGCTTTCTCCCAGACTGCTGGCTTGAATGCTTCAAAAACGTCAGTGTGATGAAAGAAAAAACAAAAAGGACAGAGAACTCTTTCTTAAAGGGATAAACGGATACAAACGAACGCATGCGCGAATCTTGAATTGGCTCCCGTATGGGGAAAGAAGCTATAAAGGCCATTGTTCAGAGAGCGGACCTTAGACGGATCATATACGAGCGTTCAGTTTCCCGAGGGTGCCCATTGTTTTGGGGGTTTGTAGGAGAACGCCCACGCCCTTCTGTGCCAGGGGAGAGGTAGGTGACAGAGAAGGCCAGTGTGACAAAATGCTCGTGACGGGGGAAGGTAGAAGGGTGTGTGGATGTCATTGTACCGTTCTTACAGTTTTCTGTAGGTTTGAAACATTTAAAAATGGAAAGCCAGGGAAAATAAGGTAACGAGTACTGGGAGGGAAAAGTAGGAAGTGGTCAGGATGGAGACCTGTTTCACCGGGCTTCGCAGAAAGGGAACGGGGAAAAGGGAGGCGCAGATGGGAAAGAACCTGTCTTGAGCCAATAGATGGGGAGCCTGACACTATAGGGGAGGGGAGGGCTCGCTGGGAGGTGGCTGGGACCGGAGCACGGTGACGCCCCCAGTGTGGGGCAGGTGGGTGGACGTGTTGGGCTGGGGTGGGGGCAGGGGACAAGGAAAGTAGGAAGCGGAGGGGTCAGAGGTAGGCTGTGGGAGCCGGAGGGCAGAGGAGAAAATGGGACAGTTATCCACAGGGATGGGGGAGAACGTGTACAGGGTGATACGGAAAATACAGTAAATACTGGTGTGTGCGGGGGGAAGGGTACTGCCTGATCACCCAGACTGCCAGCACCTGTCCCTAACTCCCCCAGAACCCCCTTCGTCCCATGCGAGTTTGGCCATGCAGGGGCCAGACAGGTCACAGAACTTAGAGCAGAGGGTCTGGAGGGGAGGACAGGAAGGGCTTGCCGGTTCCAACACTGAGCTGGCAGAAGCAAATGGCAGCCTTGAGCATTTTGGGGTGCCCTTCCTGCCTGCACCCCAGGAAGAGACCCTGGTAGCAACAGCCTCGTGGTTCCTTACAGGAAGTCTCCCCTCCACGATCTGTTCCTCGAGGGCAGGGATCTGCTTTTCTCTGCACCCCTCAGAATGGAACCACGGTGGAGTTTGGGAAAGGTCTGCAGAGTGAATTCATCAGCACAGGGCACCCTGTGGGGAATGGGTGGTTGGAAAGTGAAGAGCAGCCCTCGGACGGACCACAACCCCACTTGTGCACTGCAGTGGTCGGGCCACAGGCCCGCCTGCCTGACCCTCTATGGGGGCCCGGCCCGACCCACCTTTCCCTCCTTCCCCACAAGGTATGCCACCACGCTGACTGCCAGCAGCTGCACCGCCGGGGGCCCCTCAACCTCTGCGAGGCCTGTGACAGCAAGTTCCACAGCGCCATGCATTATGATGGGCACGTCCGCTTCGACCTGCCTCCCCAAGGTGAGCGTGGGTAGGGACTCCAGCTGGGCACGGAGGGTTCCCAGAGCAGCTCTGAACTCCCTGTTTAGGGGCATGGTGTCTTGGTAGCTGTTGGAGCTGTGACGGGCCATCAGAAGGACAAGAGTTGGGGCACCTGGGTGGCTCAGTTGGTTAAGCGGCCGACTTGACTCAGGTCATGACCTCACGGCCTGTGAGTTTGAGCCCCGCGTCCGGCTCTGTGCTGATGGCTCAGAGCCTGGCGCCTGCTTCGGATTCTGTGCCTCCCTCTCTCTCCACACCTCCCCTGCTCGCACTCTCTCTCTCTCTCTCTAAAATAAATAAACATAAGAAGAAGAAGAACAAGAGTTAACTGTAAATCATGAAACCCAAGTATATTGTGGCTCCTTTGTGCTACAAGGTTTTAAACAAGAGAAAAGGTTGGGGGACTGTGCCCCATGTTGAGAGCAGGCCTGTCTCTTCCGGGTTCTGGGTCCTTGTTGTTGGGTCTGCACATCCCATACCTGCTCCTGCCTTTCGCCCCGGGCCAGCATGGAAAAGGCCCCTTTCTTTTCCTCAGGGTAGGGGACTGCTGGGCAAATCCTCTAGCCAGGCTGCTGGCGAGCAGGGGCCGTGGGGGTGGGTGTGGGCAGGTCAGAAGGAGCTTGTGGAAAGGAACCAGAAACCCTCCTGCTGAGTGGGGACCTGGCCCAGGCCTAGCACCAACTGGCTGTGCTGGGGTGACTTACAGGCATCTGAGCCTGGCCAGAAATGCCAACCCTGTGTCTCCATTTTTAGCTGGTCAGATGGACAGAAGGACTCTCCCCCTCTGCCAAGGCCCCCTGGGACTCCGGGTGTGTTCACAGTGGTGGGGGGGTTGTGTGGAGAGGAGGCCTGAGAGAAGGAGCCATAGACTTTGGTTCCTTCCTACAAAAATCCCAGAGGCAGAGCTTCCTTATCCCTATTTTATAGAAGGGTAAACTGAGGCCACAGGTTTGGGGGCAGGGCATCACCTGGGGTGTCATCCCAGGGAGCTTGTGTCTTTTTGAGTCTAGGGATGGATGGGTGATCCGCAGTGACTGAGCCCCTCTCTGCACAGACCTGAAGGGCCCTAGTTTGTTGGGGGTGGGGGGTTCCCAGGACTGGTAGCAGGCTAAGAAGGCAGCCAGGGAGGGAATAGGCATGACCTTTCCTCCCACTTTACCCCAAAGGCTCTGTTCTGGCCAGAAACGTGTCTACCCGGTCATGCCCCCCACGCACCAGCCCTGCAGCGGACTTGGAGGAGGAAGAGGAAAGCTCTCTGGATGGCAAAGGGTAGGTGGGCAAAGCGGACACCTGAGGAATCCCAAGGCTGGACCTCAGATCAGAGATCCAGGGACGAGAGGCTTCAGAACACCCGACTGGAGACCCCTCCATGTCCCTGTGGATGCCCTGATTCCTGGAGGAAGCTGCCCAGCCTGGGCCAGCCTCCAGCCTGGCGCAGGCAGACTCCTGTCTAGGTACCACTGGGTGTGGCTCCTGGGTTGGCCACCAGAGGGCACTCAGCCCCTTGTGGGCCCTGGCCTGCCTGAGCTGCACCTGAGTTAGTTATCTGATCGCCTGGGGTGAGCAAAGAGTGGGCAGCCGGGGCCTGTTCACATCCCGCCCTGGTGAGGGCCTACCCGTGCCTCCAGCCTCTGCCCTCTGTCCTGCAGGGACCGGAAGAGCACAGGCCTGAAACTCTCCAAGAAGGCAAGGAGGAGACACACAGATGTAAGGAGCCCCCGGGCTGTCAGGGGGGCTCCTGTCAGCCCCTGCCCTTCCTGGGCCCTTTCCTTTCCATCCCCAAGACTGGGCCTGTCTGCTCTGAGCTCCAGGACCAGGAACGGGGCCTGGAGTGAGTGGGTCCCTCCCTGCCCACCCTGCCCTGCCGCCCCCACTACTATCCACCTTAGCTGGATGGGAGATACCACAGGAACACCTCCCTTGGGCAAGAGGGACACTGGGCACCTCCTTGGGACCGAGGCAGGCTGGGGAGATCCCTGGGTTCATTCCCATGCTGGGGTTCCCATCCTGCACCCTGGTAGGCGGGGAGGCGCCGAGACAAGGGGTGCAGAAGCTGAGACCCACACCCTTTCAGGACCCCAGCAAGGAGTGCTTCACCCTGAAGTTTGACCTGAATGTAGACATTGAGACAGAGATCGTACCAGCCATGAAGAAGAAGTCGCTGGGGTAGGGTTTGGTGGGGCCGAGGCAGGGGGAGTGGGGCCGGGGGTGTGGGTGGCTCCTTGCAGGCATAACTGTGTGTGTCTGTGTGGTGGCCGGTGAGTGAGCGGACCCACCCATGGATTCCAACACGTGTGCGCATGGCCCGGTTCCTGGATGTGGACCAGCATGTGACAGTGTCCACCCTGGTGGCAGACACGGAAGCGGGAGGGCATGGGAGCACTGGCTTGTGTGTCGACCCATGTGGGAGCGTGCAAACCTCTGTAGGCAGCTGTGTGTGCACGCACACCTGTATGTCCTCGTACCTGTGTGTGATCCTGCGGGTGGCTCCCTTTCCCACTGGTAAGGTGGGGTGGAACTGGGGCTGGGCATAGGGTGGGGGTTCGTGTGCCTGCCCCCTAACAGCCACCCCTCCCATCCTGGGGCAGGGAGGTGCTGCTGCCGGTATTTGAAAGGAAGGGCATCACGCTGGGCAAGGTGGATATCTACCTGGACCAATCCAACACGCCCCTGTCCCTCACCTTTGAGGCCTACAGGTTCGGGGGACACTACCTGCGGGTCAAAGGTGAGCAGTTAACCTGGCAGGTGGGGTGGCTGGGGCCTGACTGGGCCTCCCGGAGATGGCTGCTTCTTCCCAGGCTCAGATTCCCATTGGCCATGGCCCTGAGCTGGCTCATTACCATACAGGTGTCTCTGCTGGGCCCTGGCAATGGGTGCTGGCAGGGCGGGGCCTCACGGGAGGGCAGCTAGGCCTTGGTTGGGATCTAGGAGAGAGAGGTCTTGGGTTCCCTTCTCCACCGGGCCTGGATGCTGAGGACCTCTCCTTGCCCCCTACTGCTGCCCCAGCCAAACCGGGGGACGAGGGGAAGGTGGAACAGGGAGTAAAGGACTCCAAATCCCTGAGTCTGCCAATCCTGCGGCCAGCCAGGGCCGGGCCCCCCTCCTTGGAGCGCGTGGAACCCCAGAGCCGCCGGGAGAGCCTGGATATCCTGGTGAGGGGCTGTGTCAGGGCTGGGGGCGGGGAGGGACCTTAGAGGGAAGGTCAGCTGGGTCCCTCACCTCTTGGGATTTAATTTCCCCTTCTGGAAAATAGGGGTGGCTCTGAAGATAGGGAGCCCCAAGATAATGGGTCTTGTCTCTGAGAGTCTGCTAATGCCTGAGGAGTGTGTGTGTGTGTGTGTGTGTGTGTGTGTGTGTGTGTGTGTATCCATCTGGAGCTGTGCTTATAAGCTGTGCATCTAAGTGTGCCTGTGACTGTGTGGTGCTTGGGGCTGGGGGCTGGGCGGTGGTCCAGCTACACCTGTGCCTGGATCTTCAGCCCCCAGAGCATCTACGGGTCTTAGAAGAGGTGGCATCCCAGGGCGGGGGTGCAGAGACCCTCCCACGTCTCAGCTTCCCTGAGGTCCAGGAAACCCACCGTGGGGTAGGGGGGTGTGAGGGTCAAGGGGGCCCTGGCCTTGATCGCCCTCTCCCGGCCAGGCCCCTGGCCGCCGCCGAAAGAACATGTCGGAGTTCCTGGGGGAGACGAGCATCCCTGGGCAGGAGGCCCCCACGCCTTCCAGCTGCTCTCTGCCCAGTGGTAGCAGTGGTGGCAGCGACAGCTGGAAGAACCGGGCGGCCAGTCGCTTCAGTGGCTTCTTCAGCTCAGGCCCCAGCACCAGCGCTTTGGGCCGGGTATGTGGTCCCGTGGGCCCTGGGGCAGGGTGGCTGGCGGGCCCGTCCCCTGACACCAGCCGTGGGTCTCCTTCCAGGAGGTAGACAGGATGGAGCAGCTGGAGGGCAAGCTGCACGCCTACAGCCTCTTCGGGCTGCCGCGGCTGCCCCGCAGGCTGCGCTTCGACCACGACTCGTGGGAGGAGGAGGGGGACGAGGAGGAGGAGGAGGAGGAGGAGGAGGACGCCTGTCTGCGGCTGGAAGACAGCTGGCGGGAGCTCATTGATGGGCCTGAGGTGGGTACAGCCGCGGCCCTTCCTCCCTTCCCTTCAGGGAAAGGGGACACTTCCAAGGACCCAGTGACAAGGTGCTCTACAAGGTGTTCCCCACCAGGCTGTGGGGAAACTGAGGCGAGGAACACGCGGTGTGCCGCTTGGCTGTTTTAGTGGTGGAGGAGGGTGCAGAACTTGGGGGACCTCATGTTTCCACGGGGAAAAGGAGGTTGCCTGCAAGGTGGCTCACCCCCTCCCGGGTCATCCGGGCACACTCTGGGACTCCTGGCCAACCTCCTGCACTTCCCGCAGAAGCTGTCCCGGAGGCAGTGCCACCAGCAGGAGGCGGTGTGGGAGCTCCTGCACACAGAAGCCTCCTACATTAAGAAACTGAGGGTGATCACCAACGTGAGTGTGGGTCCGCACCCTGCCTCCCCGCCCCCCAGGGCCTCCCTCTGGGGGCCCCTGAACAGAGTTTGGGGCTTTGCAGAAGAACAGGGGAAAGAAAGCTTTGGGCAAGTTTGCCAAGTTAGCTGAGCACTAGGCTCACTCTTGCACTCGTTCATTCAGCCACTGTCTCTGAACACCTGCTGTGTGCCAGGTGCCCAGCAGCCCACACCCGGCCTGTGGAAGTGGAGTGTGAGTGTGTGTGTGTGTACTTCACCCTGGGGAGAGCACCTATCTTTGGCTTGGGGTTCAGGAAGAACTCCTTAGCTGAAACTTGGGGCCGAGCCAGGACAGAGCTGGAGGAGAGAGTTCCAGGTGTCACTGCAAGGCCAGTCTCCCTGAGCTTTCCCTCCAGGTGGGGACGAGGCAGGATGAACCCCCGGTGGGCCGTGGAGGTCGGGCCTTTTCTGAAGGGGTGAACCGTCTCTGTCCCAAGCTGCTTCAGGGCTTCCTGGGAGGGGTAAGGGGTAGAGGGGAGCCTAACAGCCTGAGGGCGGGGGGTGGGGGGGGCGTCGGGACTGGGACGCCCCCCAGCTGCAGCGCCCCCTGCCCCCACAGCTGTTCCTCTGCTGCCTCCTGAACCTGCAAGAATCGGGGCTGCTGTGTGAGGTGAGGTGTGGCCCCCGGGGGGCAGGGCCTGCCGCTGGGGGCGGGGCGAGGGCGGGACACAAGGATGGAGCCGGAGGGGCGGGGCCCGGCCGGGGGCGGGGCCGAGCGCACCTCCCGCCCCTTCAGGTGGAGGCCGAGCGCTTGTTCAGCAACATCCCCGAGATTGTGCGGCTGCACCGCGGACTGTGGGGCAGCGTGATGGTGCCGGTGCTGGAGAAGGCGCGGCGCACGCGGGCGCTGCTGCAGCCCGGGGACTTCCTCAGAGGCTTCAAGATGGTACGGGCCGGGCCGGACACGGGGTGGGGGACACCGCGGCAGGGCTAGGGCGCCGATCCCGTCTGCCCACCACCCCGGCCTCCCCCCGACCCTGGCGCCACGTGACCCCTAGTGGTCGGAGGCAAGGAATTCCGAGTTGGTCGCCCGGGTTTGAACCCCACCTGGCCATCTGCCCTTTCTGTCTGGCGGAAGTTCAGCCTGGAGTGGTCGCGAAAGTGCGGTGAGGGAGGGCTCGTGAGGCTCCCGGCGCAGGGCCTGGCCGCGGAGAGCGCGCAGTAACCGTGCCTGTTCCGTCCCGGGCCAGTTCGGCTCCCTCTTCAAGCCCTACATCCGATACTGCATGGAGGAGGAGGGCTGCATGGAGTACATGCGTGGCCTGCTGCGCGACAACGACCTCTTCCGGGCATACGTCACGGTGAGGAAGGGCCGGGGCGCAGGACAGTTGGGCCCACCCGGGCAGCAGGTGCACGGGGGGGTGGGGAAGGCGGCTGCACTGGGTGGGGCGGGGTGAAGCCTGAGCCGAGTCCCCAGCTGTTTAGCACCGTAGTGGGCCGAGAAGCATCAGCAGTGCCAGCGGCTGAAGCTGAGCGACAATTTTGTGTAACCCTAGCTGTCACCAAGTACCCGCTGCTGCTCAAGTCAGTGTTGAGGAAGACCGACGAGCCGCGCGCCAAGGAGGCCGTCGTCACCATGGTAACCGGGGAGGCGCGCGGGGTCCCTCCGCAGCTCGAGGCCGCCCCCAGACCCTGGCCCTGAACCTGCCATCGCCTGCCCGCCCTGCAGATCGACTCGGTGGAGCGCTTCATCCACCACGTGAACGCGTGCATGCGGCAGCGGCAAGAGCGGCAGCGGCTGGCGGCCGTGGTGAGCCGCATCGACGCCTACGAGGTGGTGGAGGGCAGCAACGACGAGGTGGACAAGGTGGGAGGCTGCCTGTGAGGGGGACCCTGGCCCCGCGGGAATGGAGGAGGGGCCACCCTGGCAGACAGGCGCCTAGGCGGGGAATCTTTCGCGCGGACTTCCAGCGGAGAAGGGGAGTCAGACCGTGACCTCCCCACATGCTCGCCGCCCGCCTCCCCAATCACCAGCTCCTGAAGGAATTTCTGCATCTGGACCTGACAGCACCCATCCCTGGCGCCTCCCCCGAGGAGACACGACAGCTGCTGCTGGAGGGGAGCCTGAGGATGAAGGAGGGGAAGGACAGCAAGGTGAGTCTAGGGACCACCTCACGCCCGGGGCCCCTTCTGCACCCCCTCTTCCCCTGTGCGTTTGGACCACCCTTTCCTGGGGACCTTCTGGGCCCTATTTAGTGATTCTCAGCTGCCCTGGCAGTTGGGTGGCAATTCAAGAAGGGATGACTTTGTGGTCACACGAGGGCTGATGATCTGCCTGCCGTTTACTCTTTACAGATATGGCAGCAACCACACAGCCCATGGGGTGCTGGTCTTGCCCACTTGCTGGTGCCATGTGGGTTCCTGGTGGGAGGGAGGGGGCCCATTCCAAGAGCAGGCCAGGAACAACCCGGAGCCTCGCTCCTGAGCTATTAATCCCAGGTGCTTAACCCAGAGCCTGCAAATTGTGGTTTTAAAATCACTTCCCTCTTTCTCTTTAATGTAAACCTTTTTTTTTTTTTATAACTAAGGTACAGTTTATTGTAATAACACCTATAAACAAAAATAACAGACACATAGTATTGTTTTTGAGAGCAAAGTGAACTAATCTCTGAAAATACTTACAATCTAAACTACTACCATAGGAAATTCTAGAAAGTATAAAAATACACAAGCAGAAGTCCATTAGCCATCACAATGATATCATCACATGTCCTGTAGCCTCTGGAAAGCTCTGCTTTTTCACTTCTGAGGGGATCCAAGTGAAAATACAAATAATATCTTAATATTATCATAAACATAATTTTTTTAAAGGAATTATTTGGTACACCTGAGTGGCTCAGTCGGTTGAGCGTCTGACTCTTGATTTCAGCTCAGATCTTGATCCCTGAGTTGTGAGACCGAGCCCTGCACGGGACTCTGTGCTGACCCTAGAGCCTGCTTGGGATCCTCTCTCTTACTCTGCCCCTTCTTGTTTTCTCTCACACAGGCACACACTTTTTCTCTAAAATAATAATTAATATAAAAAAATAATTTGTTTTTATTACATTTCTTTATTTTTGAGAGGCAGAGAGAAATGGAGCGTAAGCGGGAGAGGGTCAGAGAGAGAAGGAGACATAGAATCCGAAGCAGGTTCCAGGCTCCGACCTGTTGGCACAGAGCCCGATGCGGGGCTCGAACCCACAGACCACGAGATCGTGACCTGAGCTGAAGTCGGACGCTCAACCGACTGAGCCACCCAGGCACCCCTTAAAAAGAATAATTTTTATATTGTGGACTATCTAAAAGTGAACACTTTCAGCACTGCTGCCCTGGACCCCTTAATTGTTGGCTGACAGTCACTTAAGCCTCAAAATCTTCAGGCATGCTTTGAACCACCCAAATGGAAGCAGTCTTTGAGCCTCGTTCAGTTATTCTCTATCATTTGAGAATATTATAATTTCTTGTGGTTTACCAATTTCTGGAATTATTTTTAAATTATAATGTAAACCTTTAATTGAAAGAAATGACAAGTATGTTAGCTCCACCTTGCTCTTCATCTTAATTGTATTCCCAGATTCATGGGGGGCAGGGAGCAGGGAAGGCGTTTGACCAAACCCGGGTGCCCCCAGCAACATCACCAAAGTGCAGGCAGGAAGGGGCCCAGCCCAGGAGAGGGCGTCGCGGCAGATAGGCTGAGGTCCCAAGACCCTGGCCCTGATCCCGGGCCTGGCCTGCTCCCCTTGCTCCCCCCACCCCCACTCCAGATGGACGTGTACTGCTTCCTCTTCACGGACCTACTCTTGGTGACCAAGGCGGTGAAGAAGGCCGAGAGGACCAAGGTCATCCGGCCGCCACTGCTGGTGGACAAGATTGTGTGCCGGGAGCTTCGAGACCCCGGTGAGGAGGCCGGCCCTGCTCCCGGTGGGGTGGGGAGGGGGCCGTGATGGGCAGGGGCTGTGGTCCTAGCTGGCACTGATGGGAGCCCCTCCTCACCAGGCTCCTTTCTCCTCATCTACCTGAACGAGTTCCACAGCGCTGTGGGGGCCTACACGTTCCAGGCCAGCGGCCAGGCTCTGTGCCGTGGCTGGGTGGACGCCATTTACAACGCCCAGGTGAGAGCCGAGTGGTGGGCGGGTGGGTGGCCAGGGTGGCCCGTCGGGGGGAGCCGCTCACCACCCCCTCCCCCACCTGCAGAACCAACTGCAGCAGCTGCGCACCCAGGAGCAGCCAGGCAGCCAGCCGCACCTGCAGAGCCTGGAAGAGGAGGAGGACGAAGAGGACGAGGACGAGGACGAGGAGGAAGCGGGGGAGAGTAGCGCTTCTGCCGCCAGCTCCCCCACCATCCTGCGCAGGAGCAGCAACAGTCTCAACTCCCAGCACTGGTATGCTCGCCCGGGGCCGCTCAGCGGGCCAGAGCAGGGCAAGTGCTGCGGCCCAGCCCTCCTGACCCCGAGCAGGGCCCTCTTGACGCCGAGCAGGGCCCTCTTGACCCTGAGCAGGGCCCTCCTGACCCCAGGGCCGCTGACCCTGAGCGGGGCCCTCCTGACCCCAGGGCTGCTGACACCGGGTAGGGCCCAGACTCCCCACCTTCCTCCGAATGGCTTCGTGCTGTGACCACAACATGAGGGAGAGGGCTCTGTCTCCCACCAGAGTCCCGGCGGGGATGGCAAAAGGTTTTGAACTTGAGCGCTGACTCTGATCCCCCAGTGCCAGTGGGGTGGAGCTGAGCGGAAGATCCTTTTTTTTTTTTTTTTTTAATTGTTTATTCTTGAGAGAGAGAGTGTGAGCGAGCAAGTGGGGGAGAGGCAGAGAGAGATGAAGACAGAGAATCCCAAGCAGGCTCCGCACTGCCAGTGCAGAGCCCGACACGGGGCTCAGACTCACGAGCCATGAGATCATGACCTCAGCCGAGATCAAGAGTCAGACGCTCAACCAACTGACCCACCCGGGCGCCCCTGAGCTGAGGATTGTTGCACTGTGTCCAGCTGGAGGGAGGAGTGTGATGGTGACAGACATCATCATGGGTATCTGTGTTGTGGGCCCAGGGTTGGGAGCTCTGGCTCACGGGCCACATGCTTTTGCCATCTCTGAGCCTCAAGTCGGGAGGGCGGAGGCTGTGGACCTCTGCGTTGCCAAGCACTGGCTGTACCAGGCCATCTGGGCTTCCTGAGGCTGGGCTGACTGTCCTCTCCCGGCCCCACAGTGCCTCAGATGGCTCCACGGAGACCCTGGCCATGGTTGTGGTGGAGCCTGGGGAGCCGCTGTCCTCTCCCGAGTTCGAGGGTGGCCCCTTCAGCTCCCAGTCGGACGAGACCTCTCTCAGCACCACTGCCTCATCTGTCACGCCCACCAGCGAGCTGCTGCCCCTGGGGCCCGTGGACGGCCGCTCCTGCTCCATGGACTCTGCCTACGGCACCCTCTCCCCCACCTCCCTGCAAGACTTTGTGGCCCCAGCCCCTGTGGTGGAGCCAGCGCCCCGGCCCCCAGAGTTACCACAGGCCCCTTCACCCCCACCCTCACCCCGTCTCCGCCGCCGCACCCCTGTCCAGCTGCTGCCCCGCCCGCCCCACCTGCTCAAGTCCAAATCTGAGGCTAGCCTCCTCCAGCTGCTATCAGGGGCCACTGCCCATGGAGCGCCCCCGGCCCCCAGCCGCAGTCTGTCAGAACTCTGCTTGGCCGTTACGGTCTCTGGCACAAGGACTCAGGGCTCCCCTCAGGAAGCCGGGCCCAGCTGGGTTCACCGGGGGGCACCTAGCCCTGGCAGTGGCCCCAAGCTATCAGAGCTGGAGGGCAGAACCAGCTGCCCAGCTGGGGCGCCCGAAAGACCCACCAGGAGGAGCAGAGAGCTGTCCTTGGGGGCCTCACCCAGGGTGCAGCCCGAGCCCCACCCAGGGATCTCTGCCCAGCACCGGAAGCTGACGCTGGCCCAACTGTACCGAATCAGGACCACCCTGCTGCTTAACTCCACGCTCACTGCCTCGTGAGTGGCCTGGGGTAGAGGGCTTGTGGCCCAGTGTGTTGGCCTTGGGGGCACTGAGCCCCGGGATGGGTAGGGGCACTGTCATGGCTGGGAGCAGATGGCATTAGGAGGTGGGGATGGGAGAAGGGAGCCCGAGACCTGCTTCAGAGCCTGAATGGCAGTGTCTACAGTGGGTGGTGCGGAAGGGGCCTTAAGGAGTCTGGTGGGGCAGGGAGGGTGACCAGAGCCCCCTCTGGAAGTGGCATCAGCCAAGGAAGGACTGTCTGTCCCTTCCCTTCTCTTGCAGGGAGGTCTGAGCAGAGGGAGGCCCCCGAGGGTGCCACTGACCGAGAGACAGCAAACAGCATGCCTCCTGGGGCATCCGGGTCCCTGCTCCGGCTGCTGCCCGCACAGTAGCCAGAGCGCCGGGCAGGACCCCCGATTTGCACTTTGCCAGACTGGATGGAAGTGGAGGAGGGCTCAGCAGAGCTCCAGGCCCAGGCCGCAGTACTTCCTCAGGACTCCCCCCAAGGCCACCCCCACTAACCTGTCCACCCGACCCCCGCAGGGTCCCTTGTTCGCTGCTCCCTGAAGTCACCAGCTCCAATCCTGGGGTGGGCTCCAGGGCGGCCTTTCCCACCTCCACCCTCATCCGGCCCCAAACGGGATGTTTGCTCTCCTGTCCTTGCCTCCCTCTCTCCCAGGCCCACTGGCCACCCCAGGCTCGGGTTGGGCTCTGTGTAAAGTTGCATATTTATTGAGCTTTTGATTCTTTTATAAAGACTTGTATATACTACCAGAAGAAGTTCTTTGCTTTTGGAACCAGCCCCTTTCCTGACTCAGGTGCACTTGAGCCGGGGGGCAGGGGCCTCTCACTCCTGTCGCCCTCTGTCTGTGGTAGGGCACCCCCGGAGGAGACTGAGGAGAAGCATTAGTGAATTAACAGGGCAGAGGTGACCAGACCAGCACCCCCAAGATCACCCCCCATCCCCTGCCTCAGCCACGAGGGCTACCCAGGAGCCCCCCATGAAGTTCTCCCTCCCACAAGGTGCCTCACGGGCCCTGCCCTGGGTGGTCCCCGTAAACTTATGCCAGGGCGGGCGATGCGTCTCAGGCTCTACTGAGAATGCCCGCTGGGACTCCCCTGCAGGGGCGGGGCCCCTGTACCCACACCCAGGCGGTATTGGGGAGGCTGGGTCTCCCAGCTGCGTCGCTGTCGCTGTGGCCCAACCTCTCATGGCTGAGGGAGGGCTCTGAGGCCCGAAGGAGGGAAGTCACTTCACCTGGAAGTTGTAGTCTCAGGGCCGGGGCCAGAACCCAGGCAGGGGGGACCTGGATGCTGCCCTGTCCTGTGTACGCCTTGCTGCCCCCAGGCCACCTCAGGTGAGCTCAGGTGCGCAGGGGCAGGCTGCGTGGGCTGGGGGCCCCGCCCTGGCCCCCACCCCTGAGGCGGGCTCCCCCGGGGCTGGCTTGGGGCAGAGCGGGCGGAGCGGGGGAAGCCCCCGGGCTGGCGCACGCCTGTCATCCGAGGGCCCAGCAAGGCGCCAGGAGCCATGGAGTTGCGGCTGGGGGGCTGCACGGCAGCGGTGGCTGCGGTGAGTGGGAGCACGGTGGAGGGGGGCGGGCAGCCTGGAGCCTGACCTCAGGCCTGGGTCGCTGCGCTAAGAACGATGGGGCCCCACTTCGCGGGGAAGTGTGCCAGCACCACCACCAACCCCTCTCCACTTAGACACTCCGCTAGTTAGAGCCTCAGCCGGGCGGGGCCCTTCCGCTGAGAGGAAACCCCCGCCCCGGGGGCCAGAAGGGTCTAGGGGCCCCAGGCAGAGAAGGATCCGGGTCCTCCACCTTACACAAACCAGGAGTGGGGACGGGGCCCCCCGGTGCCTGCCCTGGTGCCCTGGCAGAGGGAAACGTGTGGGGGGAGCCGGCTGGAGACCTCGCTCTGCCTCTCCCGAGCCTGCTCTGTGCACGGGGGGAGGGAAGCTCGTCTTACCCCACATCCATGGGGCACCTCCCGCCCAAGAACCTGAGAAGAGGGCCTCTCTGAGGGCAAACGCGGTGGGGGGCTCGGAAGGGGGGGGGGAGGCCGGGGAGGGCCCGCATGGCCAGCCCCGTCACAACCAACAGCCACCTGTCTTCCAGGTCCTGCTCCTTGCGCTGCTGGGCGCCCAGGGCCAGGGCGGCACACCCAGTCCAAAGTGTGACTGTGCCTCCAACTTCCAGAAGAGGAGCGGTCTGTTCTGTTGCAAGGGCTGTCCAGCCGGTGAGCAGCCGAAGGGGTGGGAGGGATGTGGAGGGGAAGTGAGGGCAGACAGAGGGAGATGGGGTTCAGGCGGGGTCAGGAGACAGGGGAGGTGGGCAGGGGTGGGGAGGAAGTAGGGAGCCAGAGATAGGAGAGGAGGGAGGGGAAAGAGGGAGCCCCCTTTGACTGTCTGACCCGGGTCTGGTTTCCACAGGGCACTACCTGAAGGCCCCCTGCCCAAAGCCTTGCGGTGCCTCTACCTGCCTCCCGTGCCCCCGCGGCACTTTCCTGGCCCGGGAGAACCACCATGAGACCCGCTGTACCCGCTGCCAGGCCTGTGATGAAGAGGGTGAGGGGCCTAGTGCTCAGTGGGGGACTCCTGAGGACAGGCCATGGCCAGGCTGTTTCTGAAGGAGGTGGCTGGCTTGGGCTTAACCTCTGGTGTGACAGCCCTGTGTCCACCCATCCCAGGCCCCTCCCCCCTCGATCCCACCCTAGGATTCCCTTGCCCCCTCACTTCCTGCTGACCCTCCCATCTCCATATATGCCTCAACCTCTGATCTGGGGCGATCTCCATGCTCCTCTCCCTTTGGGGGTGGCCCCGTCTTGGGCTGCCCCCATCTCCATTCTCCAGGGGATCTGCCCGGGGTCCCCGCGGGGGGTCTCCGGCCCTGATGGCCTCCACTCTCCCCATCTCCCTGAACACTCTTGCCAGTTTCCCAGGTGGCCCTGACGAACTGTTCAGCAGTGGCAGATGCCCACTGTGGCTGTGACCCGGGCTGGTTCCCCGAGTGCTTGGTCAAGTCCTGCAGGGACGGCTCCCCCTTCCGCTGCCACCCGTGCTCAGACTGCAGGGCCCTGCACCGCCACACACGGGTGCCCTGTGAGTACTCCCGCTCTGGGCTGTCTACCCCTCCACACCCCCCCTCTCCCTAACTCCCCCTCTCCCTTCCTGACACACAAGCCATCTCCTGGACTGCAGGTTCCGTCAGAGACACCGACTGTGGGACCTGCCTGCCTGGCTTCTATGAATATGGCAACAGCTGTGTGTCCTGCCCCACGTAATGTCCTGGCTGCCCTGGGACAGGGAGGGGGTTCTGGGAGCAGAGCGGGGATCCCGGGAAGGTGGAGGGAGCTCGGTCCCGTGGTGGGTGGGTGCCATTTCAGGCAGACATTGGATACTGAAGGGAAATCTGCATTCACCTTATGCCAGATAAATAAGGGGTTGTGTCCTTTAGTAATCTTTCCAGCTGTAGGTTAAGGAAGCATAGGGTTTGGCCGTTTATAGAGAGTCAAGTTGATACAATTTCAAAACTATGATCTGCCACTCATTCTCTGGGAGATCTTGGGCAAGTGACGTCACCACTCCGATCTGTGGCTTCTCCATGTGACGATGTTAGCAGGTTCTCCCCCCCGACCCCCGGGGCACAGGTTAAAGGGTAAAGCACTTTATCCATTCATTTGCTCTGCAAGTGTTTATTAAGCATCTACTATTTTCCAGAGATGTTCTAGGTGCTGGGGATCCAACAGGGAACAATGTAGGCAAATCCTGGTCCTCATGGAGCTGACATTCTAGTAACCCTCAATCTAGTCTAGAAAAAGCTCCATAAATAGCGGTTGCTGCTCTTGTTTCTGGGGACACCAGTGAAGTTTCAGCAGTCCTTTGGGAACATTCCAGGGTACTGTGGCGCCCAGGGAAGAGACCTGGGGAGGGCAGGGCCTCCAGGATGGAGAGGACGGGTAACCTCTCCTGGTGTCTACTCCCTCACGCCCCCCACCCCACTCCACCCCACCCCCTCTTCTTGCAGGAGCACCCTCGGGAGCTGTCCTGAGCCCTGTGTGACTGTCTGTGGCTGGAGGCAGAGTAGGTGGTGTGCTGGGAATTTGGGCAGGATTATTGGGATGGTTGGGGAGGCTGGGGTGTGGCTCCTATCCACCACTCACCCGCTGTTCTTTCAGTGTTCTGGGTGCAGGTGCTCCTGGCTGGCCTGGTGGTCCCGCTCCTGCTCGGTGCCACCCTGACCTACACATACCACCGCTGCCAGCCTTGCAAGCCCACGGTTCCTAGTAAGTACACGCACGCACTCGCACGCACATTTCTAGGGGCATCGGGTCAGCATGGGTAGCCCAGAGCCCACTCACCCCTGATGCAGAGGGGGGAAACTGAGGGAGAGAGTGCTGGGGGCAGGGGTGGCACAGGAACCCAAGAGGAGCTGGACCAGCACCCAGGTCTAGGAGTCTTGCCTGGTTGCTGATGAGATGCTCTTGTCTCTCAGCAGATGAAGCTGGGTTGGAGGCCCTGACTCCCCTGCAGGTAAGAATATTAGTAATATTCAGGGAAGAGAGTGAGCAAGAACCCAGGCCTCAGCCTTCTGGAGCTGAGAGGCTGGGCTGCATTATAACTCTTGGTCCCCCACACGGGGCACGGTGGCTGGCAGGCACAGAGTAGGCCTAATGAACGCATGTGAATTCCCTGAGTAGTTGGTGAATGAGAGTAGCAAGGCACCTGTCTCTAAGTGGCTTTCAGTCTGGTGGGATCCAGACAGGTAAACAGAAGACAGTTCAGTGGGATGTCACCATAGGGAGGCCTCCGGCAGGGTTGGGGCCATAGGGGAGGGCAGCCAGGATAGAGTTATTTCAGGCAGAGGAAATAGTTCTTCTGGGCCACCCAGTGAGAGATGAGGGGGGACTTCGGGAGGCAGCCTTGAAGAATGTTTGCTGACTGATCCAGGGAATGGCCACTCCCAGCCAGAGACCCCAGGAAGGGGTGACCCCAGGCTGACCTGGGGCCTCTCTTGGCTTCCAGGCCACCCACCTCTCACCCAGGGACAGCACCCTTCTAGCTCCAGCCAGCAGTATCGAGAAGGTCCGTGCCACGCATTTGGTAGGCAATGGCTGGGCCCTTGGCTCCCCTCAGATCCAGGAGGCGCCCTGCGCAGAGGTGACGTGGTCCTGGGACCAGCTGCGCAGCAGAGCCCTCGGTAAGAGACCTCACTGGCCTTGACCCCATTCTCCTGAGCCTGAGATGAGAAGTAATGGTTTCCTGAGGCACCACCTGCCCACTTCCCGTCCCAGACGGACGGGTGCACCCCCCTGGTCCCCCGCTCTGCCCGTGGTCCCGCCTCTGGCCTCCGTTCTTGTTCCCCACCGACTCTCTCTGGCCCGTCCCCA